GTCATCGACTGAGCCTTGAGCCAGCGGACACTTCATAGTCAAGAGAACGTACGGCCAAACAGCACCCTATCTCTACACTCCTCCTTGTTCATTTCCCTCGGACATTGAACATCTTTACATGAGGAAGGGTGCGAAGGCCTTTCAGCTACGTTGATTTCCAGCGTTGGATCCATCTTGAGATCTCGGATCTTGTAGCGATGTCATGCCATCCCAGAATCACCCTTCCAGACAGCGATTTGACTCGCCAAAGCCAAAGAACGTACTTCAGCTGCTTCGTGCTGGGTTGGGAACTTCCAGCTCGCGGTTCATTCACTCCAAGCACCGGAACCAATCTCGCAACTTGATCACATTTCAAGCCTGAAACCAGAAGCCCAACACATCGCAGTGCCTCCTTCAAGCCCTCTGTAGTCATCAACGACAAGGTGTCTTTAATGACTCGTTCCCGCTCTTGCGGGAGGTAGGCCTCTTCCTCACTTGGAACTCCCGGGCTCGTGAACGGAGAAGTCTGAGCCCGGAGCGGCGGTGTCTGGGGCTCCGGTAAGGATTCTTCTTTACTGTGGAATCCCACTGATCTGCGCCTCGGTGCAGACGTCGAACTCGAACTATGACCCGAAAGTAGCTGCTCCCCGCTGCGTTGCATAGCCTCCTCAATCTCCTTGCGTGCCGCTTCAGCAGCAACCCTTTTCACATGCTGCATCTTCATCGTCTTCTTAGCACTCTTGTATTGCTTCCACGCAAACCTTGCAACATGCTTCATGAGCTCCCAGCAAGCTATCGCAGCTACACAGATCAGCAGGCCCACCACAACCAACTCATCCCATCCTGAGACTTGTATTGCCTCCTTGTCCGGATTATCCACCACCCGTCCATCTGCTGGCCTAGCCATGGAAACCAACATCACCACAAACGCCATCATCTTCACCTTGAGGGCATTGATTGCCTTGGCTATCCTTCCGCCAACAAAGCCCCATAGCCCGAGCAGTTTCCAGAGTCTCTCCTTCGTAACCAACTTTGTCGCCAAATCAGCCAGCTGCTCTTCGCCTGGCGTATGGCGAACTGCTAGCTGGCCTGAAGACACGGCCTCTCGGATACAGCTCGCCCTAACCTTTAGGTGTCGGGTGCGTTGGCTTCCCGGCCCTCCGGCGCACATTGCAACTGCACTCGAGTTGTCTATGGCCAGGACCTGGTCAAACGGGTCAGACTCAATCTCCCGCAGAATGGCCGCGACAGACTGTAGTAGCATATATCCCCGTAGAGTTCCGATTCCATCGTGCTCATCGTCACGAAGCTTTGCTTCCCGGCCTTCCACGAGACCGGCGCGCTTCCATAGACCACAACAGCCGCCCCGTAGCTCCGGGCTCCAAAAGGAGCGAAGCTAGCATCAGTGAAGCAAGTCATCTGCAGCGGTTCCTTTCGTTGAGGAGGGACTAACTTCAACTCCAAGTCAGCAGTGCCTGCCAAATAGGAGAGCAGCCTTTCTCCCATCCGGATAACTTGCAAAGGCTTCTTAGCCACATTAGACGCCATAGCATTCACTGAGTAGAGGATGTCCGGCCGCGTCTTTGTGGCCAACCACACAGCTTCGCCTACGTAGCGCTGGCCCAGCTTCAAGTCTCCGTCAGTAAACGGCAACTCCTCGTCTTTGTCCAGCTCCACCGATTCCAACCACTCGCGAGGAACCGGTAGCTGTGTGTGTGCAGTGTCTTGCATGTTGTGTGCGCGCAAGAGTTCCGTTATGTATGCTTGTTGGCTGATGCTGAATGTTTTGCTGCCGGGGTCCTGCTTGATCTCCACGCCCAAGTAGCGTACCCCATGTTCAGCGTCCACCCACTCCAGATTTGACGTAGGCCAAAAGGAAACAATCTGCTTGTGAAGCTCCTCCACTACAGCCCGTTCTGCTAGATACATCAATCAAATCATCCACATAAGCCACCAACAAGCCCCACAACTCGTTCGACTCCTCGTCTCTCAGTAGCCAGAGCTCCGATTCTGAGGTCGCCTGCCTCAGACCCAATCGCCGGCCCTTGTAGACCACCTTGATTTGACGGAGCTTCATGTTGCGGAACTCAGACCAAATCATCGGGCTTTCTCTTAGCCCATATAGCGGCCGTTGCACCATCCATAGTTCCCCACCGAAGTCGCCGCTTTCACGTATGACCTTGGGCTGCATGAGAGCGTACTTGGGCATCTCTGCTGGCCACTCTGCGAGTAGAAAGGCTGACGTGATGTCAGCTATCGCCGCTAACCATAGCCTGGAAGATGCCACAGTCAAAGCCAGACGCAGGGCGTCTGTACTTGTTCCGGCCGCGTATAGGCTCGCCTGATCTTCTCCGTCGTTGCGGGTGATAAAATTCCCGCATATAACCATCCGGCACTTGCGCCGGCATTTGCCTCCGGCAGTATTCGGAGGCTTCAACGTGAAAACACACTTCGCTGGCACGATCTTTAGGGATCCCTGAGCCTCAAGCGTCTTCGCCTCGGCATAGGGAATCTTGACCAGCGTGCCTGAGTCGAACAATGCTTTGACCTCCTTCTCGATGGCTCCGGTCCACTTGTGAAGAACCCGCTTCACCTGGTCCAACGGCACCGTGTGAACAATATCCAAATCACCCTCGAGCTCATCCAACAACTTCTCATAATCGATGTCCGGGGCTCCCTCTTCGGCCGTCCTCGCCGATCTCAGAAAAACCCTTTCTCGAAGGCATTGGAACTGCATGAGCTGTTTGTGCACGTCGTCCAGGTACTTGCACACGTAGTCCCTGGCATCTCCAAGCTCATCCCGAACCGTTTGTCCCAACCGGGCTGCTTGCTCCGCCATAATCTCCTCCTCCTCAAGTAGATCCCGTAGGCGAGCAGCTCGGTCTTCCAAATCCTGAATCGCCACATCGAGGTCCGCATTGGCGTAGTCCATCTGTCCGGCATCGGCAGCGTTGTCGGTGTCGGTCTTCTCCTTCTCCTTGTAGCTCGCTTGGGCCTTGTTCATCATTACCATAGCCAATCTGCAAACTTCACCTTGATCGGCTCCTTCTGATGCCCGGTGAGGGTCCCAATCAAACCCGACCTCAGTGAGGTAATCCATCATTTCTAGGTTCAGTTTGGCGCTATCTCTGATTGAATACCCCACCAACATCAAACTTGCTCCCTTCGTGCACGGCGTAGTATAGTGTCTGTCGTGGGGGTCAAAGAATTGCTGACCCTCGTTCACCTTCAGGGTTGTACTCGAACCATCCTTTACAACGATCACATCACAGCCCTCGAAGTCCGTAAGCGGCATCACAGCATTGACACCAACGTTATGGGCATCCTTGTGGGGCTCCGCCTTGATTCCCTTGAACACCGCCACGCTGTTGAACTTGAAACCCGGGCACTTGTTGTGAATGTAGTTCGTGAATACCTTGGTTGCAAGCGGATACCTCCGAGCATTGTTGAGTACTCCCACCACGCCGCCATGAACGAAAGCTCCAGACACCCAAACAGCTTCATCATCATCTTGTACCCCAAAACGCTTAGGCTTCTTGCCATCCAAGGGTAGGAGCCTGGCAAGGGACTCCACTAGGTCACGGTCAACGCAACCTTCCCTCAACACTGCACGCGCAAACTCCTCGATGGGGTCGTTGGGATCATATTCAGCTGGTCCTTGGGATTCTCCTCCATCATCTTGTGGTGGTAGTGGTTGTGGTACCCCTTCAAAATTATCCCCAGGATCCAACATTGATTTCCTCCTCAACCTTCTCGAGGGCACCGATACCAAGGCATGATGATCTTCCAACTCAATTTCTCGATCTGCATCAAACAGCCCTGGCCTCATATGCGACGTTGTGATGAGGTTGCCCTTGTCCATCATCATCACACTTCCTTCATTGACATCCGCACTTGGGCCCACATAGTAGCCCGTTCCCCATCTGCTCTCCAGATCATATCGGCCCCCGGCTCCATAGACCTTCCTCTTCACATGCACCCGGGTGCCGAACGGGACCAACTCCTTATCTGGGTAGAGCTGCTTCTGCATCTGAGCCCACATTGCATATCGCAAAGCCACCGGCCACAACCTTGGAGCAAAGTTAGCAGCAGTTAATAGCCTCTTCGTTTGGGTTTTGGCATACTTCACCGCCGCCTCCGCCCTGCCATTTGCTTGTGGGCTCTGACCTTCAGTATACGTAGTGTACGTGCCACGTGAAGCCAACCATCTCTTCAAAGGATCACTCCTTAGCTCCCTGGCCCTGTCACTGTGTACACGCAGTATTGGACAGCCATGGGCTCGAAGTCTCAAGTAGAGATCTTGTGTCGCCGCCAAGACATCCTTTGTTGTTCTGCTCCTCAACGGACTCATCACATAGATCACCTTGTAGCCCTCCACGCCGCCAACTTGGGAAAAAATCTCCTGAAACTCTTCACTTGACATCCCTTCGGCAGTCGTAGCTCCTCCTCAGCTGAAGGCCTTACCACATCCCCAACTTCAAAGAGCTCACCGCCCTGCCATTCACGCAAAGGACCAACTCTATGACCCGAATCTTCCACAACCTCCGGCCCACCATGAATCGGTACGCCACTGTCACTGAGGCCACAACCATCTGGTAAAAGACCCCCATCTCGTACTTCATCTGTGTGTGGACCCCCATCTCGTACTTCATCTGTGTGTGGACCCCCATCTCGTACCTCATCTGCGTGTGGACCCTCATCTCGTACTTCATCTGCGTGTGGACCCCCATCTCGTACTTCATCTGCGTGTGGACCCCCATCTCGTACTTCATTTGCGTGTGGACCCCCATCTCGTACTTCATCTTGAATCTTCGGAAGCACATAGACGCCCACCAAGGCGAACCGGTAGTCTGCATGGTCCGGATCTGCACCTTTTTTCCGAAAAGGACCGCAAACGTATAGGCTCAGACAGTAACTCGATGGCGTTTTCACCCTCACATGTCGCCTCCCAGTACCACTGGATTCTACGCACGTTTTGCACTTTTTGTTGTAAGGGATGTGGTTGTTCCGCAAGTGAATTCTCCATTGTTCCAGCTCCTTATTGGACAAGGACTCCATCCACTTAGCTCGCTGTCTAGACTCCGGAGGCCAAAACCATTTGTTGATCGCCTTGACCGTTTCCTCCTTGAACTCCGTTGTCCATCTCCCAGATCTTGATGATGTAGTCATAGTGGTAGGCTCGTAGTCCGTCCAAATTGGAGACCAAGGCTTCGTACTGACGGTCAATCCACATCGCCTCCAAGTAGCGCGGCCAAGCCCTTTGGAGCCCAGTAGGCTTCTCTTGAGCGGCAGCGGCGTTCATGTAGTTCATGATCTTCACACCCTCAATCATCACGAAAGGAGGTGAATCTCCACGAGCAACCCGAGCCGCCTTGGCTGTAAGGGAGCACCACATGGTTTTCGCCAGTAGCTCTTCATCTGCCCTGGTCCGCATCGGTGGAGAAGCCAAGATCCCCTTGATCCTCCCCGTAGCGGCCGCCCACAAGACAGCTCTATACGCTCCCATGGCCCTCTTGAAGTCAAAAGCCTTGGACCGCAGAATGTCAATCTCCACCAACACCGCTCCATCCTCAAGGGTCTTGAACTCGGACGTGCCCTCAACACCTCCCGCAAAGAGATTGAGCAACCATGTCGAGCTCATCAACTGCTTGCGCTTCCTCCTTGAGATAGGCAATGCCTTCAAGTAGTTCCATCCCGCCTTGTCCGTCAACGAAACTTCTTCGGCAAGGGAGCCCTTCACAGCGGGCTCCAGGTCCACAAAGGGTGAATCCTTCGCCTCCATTGCAAGCAACTGAGCTGACCTTGTCCCATCGTCTAGGAAAACTTCAAGATGGCGCGACCAACAGCACCCATGGTCCCATGTCCACAACGACCGTTGCATAGCCGCCGTCGACCGCTGCAAATCATCAACACGCTTCTCCTCGAGCTCGCGTATCAACTCAAGCTCCTGCGCTTCCCCGATGAGGGGACATGGGCCAACCACTTTAGGACGAATCGTTCCGTGCAATGGGTGCTTGATTTCAAGTCCGCGACGTCTTCCCCAGGTAAGCTCACAGTTGAGATCCTGAACCAGTGACCCTAGCGGGACGATCGGCGAAACCAAATCATCAGGTGAGGCCTTCCTTGCCAGGAGCGTGCCCGTGGGACTCTGGGCCAGCGCCACCTCTTCTCCATTGGCCAACTGTACCCGCACCGTCGTAGCCGCACTGATCTCCTCCTCGGTTCCCGGTCTGTACGGGTGAGAAGCCCCTGAATCCAAAAGCCCCGTTCTGCCGCATTCTGGGTCCATTCCCAGGGCCTTGGCACTTGCTGTAACATCATGAACTGTCAGCATCCGAAGCTGCCTCATCTCCTTCAACATGCTGTTAGCCTCACGAAGGAGGCTTCGAAGGTCGTTTTCTCCTTGAGGATTTGCCTGCGGGGCAGGATGTGGGTCCACGTTACAAGACGAGGAAGTCATAGTCGCCGCTGAGGTAGAAGCTCCTGCAGACGCTGTAGGGCTCGTTGGATTCGTAGGGCTAGGATGGGCATTCTCTGGCGCAATCGTAGCTAGGGACGGAGCCACCGTGGAACCCTCGGGGTACGTGGTTGTAGATCTCGTCGGGCTCCGTCCTCCGGGCTGCTTTTCCTTTGTAGGGCATGACTTGGACATATGCAACTTGCTCCCGCATGTCCAACACCGTCCTTGTTTCTGCTTCCGGTCCGCCTCGTAGCTGTACTTACATCCTGCTCCTCGTCGGCATCCTTGATCGGTCAAGAAGAATTTGCAAGGTGCACCCTTAGCCCTCGTAGGTGACCCTTCGGTTCCACCATTGTTGCCACCCGAGGACGCCGTCGAAGCCATCGTAGAGGTAGTAGTCGCGGTCTTCAAGGTCGGGGTTGTAGGTGGCTTGGCCCGTCCACGAAAAGCCACCTGCTCGAACTCGGAAAGAAGAGCTTGGTGTAGGTCCTCCACGGCCTTCTGAGTGGGCTTCACGTCCACTTCCAAGGTATATCTCATCATGTTGATGCGAAAGAGGATCTCACTGTTCACCATCCCATCCAGGCCACGGAGTAAGATACTTGGATCCGGGCTCTGAAGTCCGACATCACCGGCGCGACGAAGCCACCTAGCCCACCGTCTCAAAGCGTCCACGGCCTCGGCCGCCGTGCTCGCAACTGCTGGAAGCTCCAACGCCTTCAAGATCTGCTGTCTCTCTGCTGTGCTCCCAGGACGGTAGAGCACCATAACTCTTCCAAGAACCTGTAACGCTCCAGTCAGCCTTGAAGCCAAAATCTCTGTCCTCACTGACTCTGGTAGACTCGCCAGCAGCATGCTGGTCGCTCTTTTGTCCACCCTAGACCACTTGTCCTCCTTCACCATTCTCGTAGGGACGGAAGAACCGTGGGTTGACGGGAATGTGCTCCATCATTCTGGGCCACAAACGCCCTCAACTGTTCATTTTCACGCCTCAAACTCGCCATCTCGGCCTGATGAGGCTGCATTGCCACTTGAACCTGACGTCGCACTTCAGCCAACACCTGCTCCTGAGTCAAAGATCCCGAAGAGGATTCAGCATCGCGACCATGCCCTCCGCCTCCGTAAAGCAAGGGGGCCTGCTGAGGCCACTGCTGCATTGTTCTTTCTGCTTCCTGACCAAACAAAGGCAACTGTGGAACACGCGGCGACGCAGACGCCCGGCTTGAAGGAGGTGTATTGAAAGGCCTAAGCGCCCCTCGATTCGGTCTCTCCAACACTGGAGCCACTGCCGCGGTAGCTTGATTGATCCGCCTCTGGAAGAACTCACCCAACCTCACCATCCAAACCGACTGACTCCCTCGAGCTTCTTCATGGATTGGCTGCTCCTCAGGCGGGGACGTTGACATTCTCAAAGTCACACTCTGAGTACCTTCCATAACCTGGATAGGAGGCTGCAGTGGGGATCTAAGAGGGGTAGCCGTTGATCTCTGTTGTAGTCGAGGAGGTTCAGGTTGGGGTAGAGGAGGTAGATCTTCTGGCCTTTGTTGATCATCTTGCGGAGCGTTCGCAGTTTCAAAGGACGTCACGGGATCCGGGGTCTGCTGAGGCTGCTGCTGCAGGGGCTGCTCTGCTGTTGGTTGTGCACCATGCATGTCTTGTACGTAGTGCGCGCCCTCTCGTGCAGCCTGTCCAGTGACAGTTACATCCCCAGCTGTACTTTGTCCTAACAAGGAACTCCCAGCTGACCCATAACTCACTGTTGCAGACCCAGTAGTAACCGGCCCATTCAAGAGCGGCTGTCCTGGCATAGCACGCACGTGTCCAGACAAAGCTGCCTCGTACTGCGGCCCGTTCTCTTCTCCCTCTAACGTCCTCTGAGCTTGGGAACTCATATCCTGATAATCTCAGGCTTCAGGAGTTGATGCCGACGCCCATGTTCAAATGCAGGACTTAGACGGTCTTTTACACAGCGAAACCTTGTTGAAAGCTCAAGCTCCATTTCAGTTCTAACTATACATGCTGTCGTAGTGCAATTGCGAAGTGCTCTATGCTGCCGATCTATGCAAAGTCATCGACTGAGCCTTGAGCCAGCGACACTTCATAGTCAAGAGAACGTACGGCCAAACAGCACCCTATCTCTACAGGGCCTTAATAATTAGAATAGGGTTCTGGGGCCCTGTATACTATAATTACAAGAAGGAACCNNTTATTTAGGCCCCTACATTATTTGGCCGGGGCGCCCATCCACCCCAGAATCTTGAGGAGCTCACTGCACAAATTGGGTGGGAAGGGTTTAGGGCTTACGGTTAAGGCGGGATTGAAGACGGCGACACCTGGCCTTACATAACTTCGCTTTAACTTGGACCTGTGCCCCTGCACATGGTGGGGAGGTTCCGATTCATTGGGCTGTTTTGGGTTTCATGCCAGTGTTCTGAGATTCGTGGTATCCTAAATCCTAGACACCATACCGCTCAAGCCTAGCTGCTGACTCCCTCACACCTGAATCGTATCCTGAATCCTGTTTTCTCAATCGTCTTGCTAACCTTTTTCCTTTAAACCCTGAACCCTCCTTAATATAGTATGAACCCGAAACCCTACTTGTAGTATTCTGATCCAACAACTGGCCAACCAAGTTCGAAGGCCTTAAGCTGGAAGAAAAGCCAGATTTTCCCTGAAACCGACATTGTAGAGTCCTAGAGAATTTGTGGCATGATTATCACACAGGATGCTTGAATAGATACCTACATCATCATATCACAACCTAGCCCAGCCCCATTCCAGTTATCAAGGCCC